TTTTTTTTTTCAACCAATAACTCCTGTGTCATTATGGAATTTGACACTTTTTGGTATTGAACAGGATTTGTATGATTCTTTAAGGCACTTGTTGTTGTAAAGAGCATTTTGCCAACTTTTTATGCACAGTCATTGTGTTTTTTTTGCATAGAAGTTGCACCACCACAAGTTCCCATGGTTGTCTTTCTGGTGCTTTTTACTGTACGGTAATCTGAGGCCTTAAACACATCATTACCTTGTCTGTCCACAGGTCAGATTTGTACTTGTTGAAGGACTCCATCTGTTAAAGGAGGGAAACACAGTGGTTTAATACTCTACCATGTATAGGAAAACTTGTACTGCCAACCACTTTTTGATAATTCCTAGTACAACTGCTTTGAGGTAAAATTCCCAGTGACTTGTGGCTTTGTCTATTGATAAATAACCCACATTGCATGTAGACATTTCATTCCTTTTCTAAACACAGTTGCATCTTACATAATATTAAATATGTATGAGGATGTTGTGTGTGTTTGTGTCATTCTTTTCACTAACATATTTATCACAGCTTCCCTAACAAGCATGTTTCTTACATCAAATAAGGAATTTTTAATTACTATAAGTGGATATGTGTTATAAATCCGGTTTCAGCCGGCACATGGATATTTTTAGCTGAATTAATTATTATTACAAAGGCCCTTTAGCTGCTTCTGAAGGGCCCTTCGGCAAGTTTCCGTTTCCTCACCAGAGCCAGGCCTGCTGCTCTGTAACTGTGGGACGGAGTAATAAAAGAGGGATCACCCTCGGGAGATAAATATAGTCTTATTTTTATTACAAGTATTTTATTCACTGAGATAGTGTGAAAGTACAACATCTCTGGCCTGAAAACTAATAAAAGTCTGACTACAGTAAACATTATTTTGCTAACAAAAGTAGTTTACCAATTGGTATGTTTAATAATGTTAACATTATTAAAGTCCCCTTCCAGTTAAAAATATGTTTTTCTTGTTGATACAGTTGGATGTTTTATCTTCACTGTGTTCACAAAATGAAGTACGTATGTGCAGATAAAAAGTAGACTAAATTATCTTTCTGAAACAATTTTAAGTGGGAAATAGTAAAAGCAGTAACAGAATCTTGATCCATATCTGATCAGCACTGCCTAGTGTGATAGCTTGATCTTAGTTTGGTGAATTGAGCTGGACAGACTCACTGAGAATGAACTGTCAATCACAACGTAGCCCCACCCTAAAGCATACACGGCTTTATCGTCCATTTTACTCTAAATTGGACCATAATTTACTAAATGAACATCATGCTGAATGGAAGAAGACTAAAACAAGCAATTGATCCCTTATATATAGTGTCAATGTTTGTAACATCAGAAATAGTTTGCCAATTGCTCAATCCTGCTCCAGTATGCACCTTATACAAGTGTGATGTAGAAACCACCAGTGCACATACACTGAGAATTTACTTTAAGCAATTGCAGACTTTTTTGGGGGGGGAAATTAAGAGAATAAAGTCATAATATTGCGAGAATAAAGTCATAATAATACGAGAATAAAGTCATAATATTACAAGATTAAAGTCATAATATTAGGTCTATGAGAATAAAGTCATAATATTACCAGAATAAAGTCGTAATATTAGGAGAATAAAGTCATAATATTAGGTCTACGAGAATAAAGACAT